GAACCCAGGAGGTGGAGGTTATGGTGAGCCAAGATCACGCCATTGCACTCTAGCCTGGGTAACAGGAGTGAAACTCCGTCTCAAAAAAAAAAAAAAGAAAACCTAATTTAAGAAGGGCAGCTGCTGGATTAACTGTGATGGTTGATGCACATTAGCTGTATTAAGATAATAACGAAGAGAAAAATAATTAACTCTATAGTGACAAAATTTGTCAGAGAGCTCCTTAACCAAGTGAATCATTAACATGAACTGCACTAGGACAAAGTTTTATGATATGCTGACGCACACAGAATGACACAGCATCATGATGATCTTGCCTCTCCAAAACTGAATTATAGTCTGAATTTTAACACAAAAAATAAGTTTCATGCAAAGTTCAGGATACAGATATCTTCCCTGTTCTATAATTTGTAACAATAATTTTAAGTGGTCTCTCTTTAGTGCCCTAGAGAGGAGGTATCTCCTGATATTTTTTTTTAAAACTTCCCGCTTAATAAAGTTTATTTTATTTAAGTAAGCATTTGCTTAATCCTGTTTTGCATAGAGGTAATGGAGAACTCAGATGAAACTTCAACATTACATGTTTTCCATCTTTACAAACTACTCCAGCTTTTTCCCAAAAGGAATCTCAAGTATCCATACCTTTTCATGTGCAACAGCCACAAAGGGAACATTTTTAATAGTGCAGATTATAAATTCATGGTAGAAATTCTGTACGGTGTATAAGAAGTCACAGCGTAAAGAGTATAGAAAGGGCTCTGGTATATATAAAATAATATTTTTGATAGAAGCTTGATTATCATAAGAATTTTTAAAAGTAGTTAAAATAAACTCTTTAGGGTGGCTTCTGCGGTGGCTGAAGAGGTGGGCAGAGAAGTAGGAACCTCCTGTTGGGCTTGTGGCGGCTTCTGTCCGCTCCGTGGCGGGAAGCGCCTTCCCCACAGGACATCAATGCAAGCTTGAATAAGAAAAACAAATTCTTGCCGGGCGCGGTGGCTCAAGCCTGTAATCCCAGCACTTTGGGAGGCTGAGGCGGGTGGATCACAAGGTCAAGAGATCGAGACCAACCTGGTCAACATGGTGAAACCCCGTCTCTACTAAAACTACAAAAAATTAGCTGGGCATGGTGGCACGTGCCTGTAATCCCAGCTACTCAGGAGGCTAAGGCAGGAGAATTGCCTGAACCCAGGAGGCGGAGGTTGCTGTGAGCCGAGATCGCGCCATTGCACTCTAGGCTGGGTAACAAGAGCGAAACTCCGTCTCAAAAAAAAAAAAAAAAGAAAGAAAAACAAATTCTTCCTCATAAGCCATGGCATATCAGTTATACAGAAATACCACTTTGGGAAACAGTCTTCAGGAGAGCCTAGATGAGCTGATACAGTCTCGACAGATCACCCCCCAACTTGCCCTTCAAGTTCTACTTCAGTTTGATAAGGCTATAAATTCAGCATTGGCTCAGAGGGTCAGGAACAGAGTCAATTTCAGGGGCGCGCTAAATACGTACGGATTCTGCGATAACGTGTGGACTTTTGTATTGAATGATGTTGAATTCAGAGAGGTGACAGAACTTATTAAAGTGGAAAAAGTGAAAACTGTTGCCTGTGATGGAAAAAATACTGGCTCCAATACTACAGAATGAAAAGGGAAAAATGCCTTCTTTTATACCATCTTCTGTTATTCATTGCTTTTGAAGAGAAGCATAGAAGAGACTTTATTTATTCTAGAACTGCAGAAATGACTACACTGTACTATACCAGAGAATTCCACTAGGAAGAAGCTTATAACTCTGTAGCCTCTTACCTTTATAAAAAAAAAAAAAAAAAAAAAAAAAATTTTTTTAAAAAAAAAAAAAAAAAAAAAAAAAAAAAAAAACTCTTCAGGGAGGAATAACACAATAGAGAAGTAAAGACTTGCATGGCATTCTAGGAGGCAGAGTGGACACAGCTCTTAATCTGAGACATGTTTTGCTTAAAAAAAAAAGGTTATTTTTTCCTCTCTCTCCTCCTTTTCTGAGAATTCCTTTCAGATTAGATTCTTTGAACAAATGACTCCTCCATGTTGAGAACATGTCTTTAAAGATGTCAGCACCACCTGCCTACCTGCTACCACCAGACCCCCAGGCAGAAGGACCAAGACCGGCAGAAAAAGCTCACTCCTTTCTGTCCTTTACAGCAAAAAAGACTCAGTAACAATGTGCTGAAAATGCAGCACAAAGATATAAAAAATTGAGCACAGGGAGATCTAAATATGTTTCACTTTTCCTTTTCTCAGGTGCCCTTTCCTGTTACAAACATCACAAATTTCTGCTTCAGTAATAAAAATATGTGGCACAGCTGAGCAAGGTGGCTCATGCCTGTAATCCCAGCACTTTGGAAGGCCGAGGCTGGTGGATCAAGAGGTTAGAAGATGGAGACCATTTTGGCTAACATGATGAAATCTTGTCTCTACTAAAAATACAAAAAATTAGCCAGGTGAAATGGCACGTGCCTGCAGTCCCAAATCCTTGGTTGAGGCAGTAAAATCACTTGAACCCAGGCAGAGGTTGCATTGAGCCAAGATTGTATTACTGCACGTTACCCTGGTCAACAGAGTGAGACTCTGCCTTGGAAAAGAGAAAAAAGAAAAGAAAATATGGGTCACATTGCCCTGTCCCTACCAAGCCCAAAGGGAAACAGTCCTGTGGCCACCGTTTAGTGCAAAGGTGGAACTTAACTCACGAATGTACCTGGAACACCCCATACTTAATTCTGGCCTCACTTTAGAGTCACATGAGGCACTTGATTACAACAACAGGGATGCCTCCACCCAGAAGAATAAACAGAATCTGCGGAAAGGGCACAAATAAACACATGTGTGCACATTAACCATGGAATCTTAATGAGAAGTCTGAGCTGATAACCACTTAGCTAAGCATTGCCTCTCAAGTTTTGTTTTGTTTTTTTTTTATAAAGACAGGTTTTCACCATGTTGGTCAGGCTGGTCTTGAACTCCCGACCTCAGGTGATCCGCCCGCCTTGGCCTCCAAAGTGCTTGGATTACAGGCGTGAGCTACCACGCCCGGCCTCAAGTTTTAATGGGATTAGAAATCACCTGGTAATTTTGGCTCCATTCTATGCCATGTGATTCTGTAGATTTGGAAAGGGTCTGTGGATGAAGGTTTTAAGCAAGTTCCCTGTAAATCCTGATATTCCTCCCCCTGAACTCATTATTAGCATTAAGTAGAGAAAGCAGGCACAGCACAGAGTCCCTAACACTCAGCACTCTTGTCACAACACAAATGCTTCAGGTACAAATAAAAACAACTCATCTCTCCCAGGCTCAGTGGCTTATGCCTGTAATCCCAGGGTTTTGAAAGGCTGAGGTGGGTAGATCATGTGAGGTTGGGAGTTCAAGACCAGGTTGACCAACATGGAGAAACCCTGTCTCTACTAAAAATACAAAAAAAATTAGCCAGGCATGGTTGTGCATGCCTGTAATCCCAGCTACTTGGGAGAGTGAAACAGAAAAATTGCTTGAACCCGAGAGACAGAGGTTGCAGTGAGATGAGATCGTGCCATTGCACTCCAGCCTGGATGACAAGAGTGAAACTCTGTCTCAAATACATACATGCATGCATGCATACAACCCATCTCCATCCTGAAGTTTCATATTCTTTGCTTTCTCCTTAAAGTTTACAGAGGAAACAGAAGGCAGTAATATCTGAATTAGCCTGCATTTAGCAACTACATGTACACAGGTACTAATGCAAGGTTTATTGCCAGGCGCGGTGGCTCACGCC